GCATATACTTAATACACCGAGGAAAAAATTATCTTGAAATAAAAAAAATTTTAGTTAACTCAAGAAAGCTATTTAAAAATCGTGTTATTTTATGATACCGGCAGGACGTTCGAATAATAGCGAAAACACGCGGGCGTGTCCAGGTATGTCACCCGGTATCTCACCTGCCCACACGTGCGCATTCTGCTTCTACCTTCCTTCCTGCTTGGGAGCGCATCGCGCGATATACAAGGAACGTGCGCGCCGATGATGTAAATCGTTGCATTGTCCATTATAACTATCTCTGCGCAGGCGAATAACTTTTACTAACGACGGGATTAATAAAATTGAAATGTCAAGATTAGTCTTGACATCGTCTTCTTGATAATTAGAAATCTTGTCTTGAATTTCTTGAAAAATTATTGGTCTTATCAAGATTATTGATTTTTTAAAAAAAGCTAAAATATATGTGCCCTGAAAAAAATCGTTTGATTGTACCAACAAGACGTATATGATTGAAGGCATTTTGGTTAAATCAAACAAGAATTTCTAGTTATCATGATAAAACTCGATTTTTTATAACTAGAACGTTTAATAGATTTTAATTAATTTTATAAGGATTTGGTTAGTATTTTCTGATTGAATTTATAAACTTTCTTGTTACATTAATTTTTTTACTTGCCTCTAAGCTACTCTTAACTTAACTCGTATTCAATATTTGCCATGAAATGTATATAAAGAGAACTAGTATTAACATTAAATCCAAAATATATTTTTTTTCTCTTACGAGCAATAGTGCCAGAAAGAGGATGCTAGCACTCTGATAGTATGTGTTTGAGTTGCATCCTCTTCTTGCATCACTGTTTATCAGTTTAATTTCTAACAAACTAAATTTAAAATAATTTATTCAATAATCTGGATTGAATTTATTTAATAATCGTGTTGGAATTCAAAATATTAAACAGACTTTTCAGATTAGATGGAAAAAATTTTAGACAACTTGGTGCTAGGGAGTTTAGTATTATTAACCAGAAAATTTGATAAATTTAACAGGAAGAAATTAATCAGATTCATCTAGTAATTCCTACAAGAATTTTGGTTCGTCCATTTTCCAACAGACATACTGCTTGAATCTACCAGAATTCTAATTAATGCAACTAAATTTTTTCTCAATGTGTATATTTGTAAATTAAATGATAAAAAAAATGAACTATATTATACAAACTTAAACAAATTTATTTAATAAATAAAAATGTTTATATATTGACAATTTTAAAAACAATTAATACAATAAACAAAATAAACAATAAAAAATTTTACATAAAACTATAGCACATGTACAAAGTTCTTTGGATGCGTGCGCTTGCATTTAGCCATCTGTATTCTATATGTAATTACCTTTTCATACCAATAACGAATATTTAATAATATAATGTTTTTTGGGAGGTAAATAGAATGACACATAACTAATAATTATTTGAAATAATTATATATTATAAAGATTATATTAAATATTATTTTTTTTAATTGTTTAGTATTAAATAAAAATTGTTAATAAAATCGAGACAAGACAAAATACAAGACGAAATTTTTGCAAAGATTCACTCAAACCAAGATTTATAAATTTTTGAAAATTTTTAATACCAACACAATATTTTTATAAATATTATCTTATCTTAAATCTTGTACAACCCATATATTATTTTCTTTTCTTATTATGCACTAGTTGCCAAAATCGTTGCTCAATAAATACTGAATTACATCGATCATCGGATATTTCGAATTAGACAGACGAGAATTTACATACTTGCGACCAATGTTGGTGGTGCAACCGCACTCCCAAGTCGTGTAAAAGCGGATGATCTCGCGGAGTCATGGACCGCATTACTTCCGTCGTTTGTTCGCTTCTGTCTCAGGAATTTTTGCGCCGGCAGGTGTGATATTATTTCTCAAAATCTTCCCTTCCACGACTAGACAATCGCGCTATCATCGCGGAACGCGTGTCTGTAGAATGCTATGATAAATGAAACCTAACTCTACTCTCTAAAAGTGAATCAGTGAAAATATCACTAATTTAAACAGTAAAATAAGATTTTACTGAGAATCAGTGAGTATTTTAATGATCTTCAATGGAAACGCTTATTTTTTTTTTATTTTATCTTATATCTCATTGATTATGGTCAGTTAAAATAAAATTCACTGTAAAATCAGTAAATTTTACTGTAAAACCAGTAATCGCTAGTTCGTTCATTTACCGCTACAATCGCTATCTCTCTCTCTCGTATTTAATTTTAGTTATAAGAATTATATAAAGTTTGCAAAGAGCGACATTTAAAATTAGAAGTATTACTTCGATTTAATTTCTGATACAAGCTCAATAGAGAGGCTTCAGATATTAAATCTACTATTTATTGTTTTTCAGTGATAATACACTGATTCATTTTTAGAGAGTAGGCGCTTCTATCTTCGAAGCGGTGCGCATCATCGTGAATCGAGGATTTATCAGCGTCGACAAGTAATCGTTCACGCAATTACAAAAGATAAAGCGGGCCCTTTCAACAGAGATTTCCGCGCTACGGTTCATATTATAGCGATTACCAACGTCATCGGTATTTCTTCTTGTTTCTGCTTTTAAGAGAATGTCTTATTTATATAATCACAGATAATTATCATTACAGATAATTATCATTACATCATCGTAGTAAAAAAGAGCGAGCAATATCTCATGGATTAGATATGCAGACGATTACATCTAAAGCTTGTGTTAAGGATGGACTTGCACTTTCATTTTGTGCTTAAATATCCTGCTCGAATTGAAAACTGATGATTCACTTCCAAGTCACTTGCATAATGTTTCAGTGATTTGTAGTCTTGCAAGTTTTTGATTTTGAAAAGGTTAAAAAATAGTCTGATTGATAATGTAAACTAGTTGATTAACTTTTTTATTTAGGGTAATTAATGATGAGAAAATATTGCCATCTTCAAATTTAAGATTAATCCCTGAAGCAAGACCAGACTTTTCTAAAAATATTGATCTATAAATTTATAAATCTATAAATAATGATGAATTAATTTACGTAGAAAACTGAATGCAGAATTATAAAGCTTAATGTTTTTCTTATAAAGTTTTAAATGTTATAAAGATTAATGTTCTTCTGCTCTTCAATTCATTCTAGATAGTTCTGTAATTAAATCATTATGCACCTGACGACGAGTTGAAGTGTAATTTGTATTCCGTACGTCGATTGTGTACACACGTATAACGTTTGCTGCACGTGAAAACACGTGTCCATTATAGTAACACAGTGAACCGATTCAGAATCTGGTCCTTGTTTCAGACATGAATTCGATACCGCCAATTCATACAATGAATTCACGCTAATGACTTACGGTCCCTCAAAAGTAGAACAACACGCCAACTTTTCGTACTCTGTCTGACCAATCGATGTCGGTTTTCACTTGTATCACTCATGCGACAAAAAAACGAAAATTTCCTCGAAATAATTCTGTAAGAGTGGTTATTATGCCTCATACTTTTTATTTTGAAGGCCTGTTATTACCCAAAGATTACTATGATTTTAACATTAGTTAAGACTTAACTGACATTTTAGAGCGACAACTTTGTAAATTACGAGTCCCAGCTACACAGACCGAATTCTGATTTATCGATGTCGTACCGGCTGTTACCGATATTTACGTTTCTGCGAAAAATCACCATTTTCCTTTGTTTTCCACGAATTCGCAAAGCTGCGATTTCGCGATTTCGCGATGTAAGTGTAAATCTACGCGACAGATCTGTCTCCCACGAGATTTATGTAAAAAAGGAATACATTTTATAGATGTGTTTTGCAAAAATATCAATATATACCAATATATATGTCATTTAAAATATGCGTTTAATTTAAAACACAGAAAAAAACAAATATAATACAAATAATATTTTATGTGTGAAGGAATTAAATTTGAAGTTGTACGATAATGTGGAGATCTTTCAAAATACACTACATCTTTCAAATGTATAATTAAAACATTTATCACATAAAATTGAAAGTGGACAAAGAAAAAACATAAAAATATTATTTAGTATAACAAAAAAAAATTTAATTTAATTAACTTTGTTGACAAATTTAAACTGCTGCAGATATAAAAATATAATCATAGTATTGTAAATCGATTCAAGCATACGATGAATATATTTCGTCGATTGAAAATTATTTCGAAGAAAAAGATTCTAGTTACCAAAAAAAAAATAGAAAACAATTCATTAATCCAAAGAATGAAAACTTGTTACAGCAAATAAAGATGAAAATTAAAACAGCAATCATGATCCACTATGGCGTCCTCTAATCATCGAAATAGATATCTTTCAATCTTGACACCTTAACATATGATGCGTGCATTATTTCGAAAAAAAGATATTTATTTTTATCCAGCGCAAAATTCGTGGGAAATGTCCATTGCGTCGATTGAAACTTTCTTTTAATTCTATGAATAAGACTCAAAAAAATAACTGTTTTATTAGCTTTGCACACATATATTTTATGGATAAACGTTTTTATTGTGATTGCACACGATAGAGGATCCTTACATATGTTAAATTTGGGTATTTAGAGTTCTGATTTATAAGATTTTTATGTGTATATTTTAATAATTAAACTTAATGCTAAACTTTACACAATATTTTCCCCCCTCATAATGTTGAACGTATAATATGCATAACAATTTTCTTCGATTGTTCCCACTGCGTCATCTTATTACACTCTTGCAATATCCACGTTATTTTTAAACGGCTGTTTGCATTTGATCGGAATGAATCTTATATGAACCGGATTAGCAGGACGTATTACTAAATCAAGCAATAATCGAATATTTTTTAAACATTCAACAGATTCCAAATAAAAATTGTGTATCAATGGAGCCATCAAAGCTTTCATCATCAGCAAACCGAGACGTTGACCTACAATTCGAAATTTATGATAAATTATCGATACGAAGAGAAACGAAAATCGCGATCAATTCACCTATACAATTTCTCGGTCCTGCGCTGAATGGTATATAAAAATAAGGATGACGATTCTTTATCCTTTCGGGTAAGAATCTGTCCGGATCAAATACATCTGGATTTGGCCAAAAATAGGGATCTCTATGAACTCCGTAGATATTAAGAAGTATGGTCGTTCCAGGGGGTACGATATGATTCTGAAAATTATTACAAAATTGAAAAATACTAAAATTCACGAAAATAAGCGTTTCTTTGAGAAAAATAAAATATAACAATATTGTAGTCTTAAAATACTAATTAATCTTACTTTACATTCAATAATATATATTCCATATTATGTAACATATTCAAAAATATATGCAGCAAAAAGTGACTATAATTACGTAATTTTACAGCATCCCCAGTCTTGCGTAATATGAAAGACGCGCTGGGATACAAACGTAGCGCTTCCTTTAAACATCTGTCTAAATATGATAAATTTTGTAATGACTTCATGTTAAGTTTTCCTCCATTCTCTTGCATCACAGTATCGACTTCAGCCCTCACATGCTCCTGTGTCATCAATAATATAATGAAAATGTATTTCTCAATTCTGATTTTTAGTGCACAGATAAAGATAAATTCTTTATGAATCAAATTTTAATATATCTAGGAAAAATATATCGTAACAAGAACTTAATATCTTTATTACATTGAATAAAAGTCTTAACTTAAATTATATATCGCAATATATTGCGAGAAATAGGTACCTGGATATCTTTATGCTCAGCTAAGAGAAGTAAAGCAAACATTATGCCCGTCGCTGTAGTATCATGACCCTATAACCATCATCATATGCATATCGTTATATTGTTATATATACTTATTGTTAGATATCATGTACAAAAAAATAAAAAAAGTTTACAGATATTTACTCCAAATATAAAAGTGTCAACTTCTTCTCTGATATCCAAATCAGTTAGAGAATTTTCTCGAGATGCCGCTATTAAAAGGTCCAACATGGCTAGCCTATTTTTTTTAACTAAAGAAAACATATTAATTACAATTTCACTTTTACATGCCACACTTTCATTATACAATAACAGTTCTTGTTTAAAATTCAAACTCTATTACAAATAATAATGATTTAATTTTACAACAAACACATGTTGTATTATTACATGTGATTATGTGTTTAATATAAATAATGCAAGCATAATGTATAATATTAAATTAATTGCGCAGTCAAACTTAAATTAGAAGCTCTAATCTCTTACGTACTTCCAAACACGTCGAAATTTTCTGCTTCTTTGTTACTTTCAAGGTTTTTTAAGTATCGGTCATTGGTGCGTTCATGATAAAGATGATTTTCTTTCCGCGATGATCTATACAAGTACAATAATTAATTTCTGACAAGATTTTTTATATTAAACAGCAATGATATTGTATTATATCATAGATATTTATAACATAATATTAATATTTAAAATAAATAACATAATCCTACAAAGATTACGAGATTTATAGTTATTTTACATATAAAAGTGTTGTAAGGTTTAAAATAATGTGATAACGTACTTTTTCCGTAAATCCATGCAATATTTTCAAGACTTTCTTTTGCTTTCTTCCTTGTGATGACAATGAGAATAATAAATCATTATACAACCAAGGCCTTAATCCTCTAAACCGAAATTCAATAAAACTACATAATTTCAAATGATGATATAATTCCAATAATGTTATTTTGTAAAAGCCTTAATTAAAACCATCATGAAATTAGTTTAATCTTTAATAACCATAGATTGTAAAGAATATATAAAAAATTTAAATCTATATATGTTACAAAAAAGTAGAATTTGTACTAAAAACTTTTTATTTTATCAAGGCTATAAAGTTTTGATCAAAGATAATTACTTTACAAATTTTGAATACAATTTATTTATTTTTTTATTGTTCTGATAATTTCAACATTTTAAAAATTACAAATAATTATGTAATGAAATATTTAGTGATACACATACAATAGATTTTGATTAAAAATTTTCGACTTGTAAACGAAGTGCTGTTTTCAGTAAGTCCATCTTTACGTATTATTCATTACATATTATCTTTACGTATTATTTACTAATTAATCTATTTTTTAAAATGTATAATTTAATGTATCACAGTTAATAGATCATAGAAAAAGTTAGAAAATGAGTTTATAAGTTAAAAGATGTGGATTATAAGTTAAAATATCATACAATTATATTCCATATCTATGAATTACCTGTAAACTATTAATTCGGTTATATCGTGAATTGCATTTCGATACTTTTGTTGCAACTCGCTAAATTTTTGCAAAGAGACGCCCATGATAGTTTCTACAAATGCATTTAATTAAAACAGTCGAAAATTATTTACAGGTGAATATTTTGTAGATTGTTTTTTTTCAACAATATTGAATATTATCTATTTTTCCTTGTTGATTATTGATACTTCGATTATTGATACTACTATAGAAACATTATTCTATTTTTATTTTAAGCTATAATTATTTAGAATAAAGTTCCTGTATACATAATGCAAAATAAGAATCACTTACCGCATATCGCATTTAGCGTATGTTCACTAATAAATGGTAATAAATCTTTTACAACTGTCCCTCCGACATCTTTCAAAGATTGTGTCATGTAATCACCCTCCTTGATAAAGATATCCCCAAACTTATTTAATATATTAAAATGGAACGCAGGTGTTAACATCTTTCGCCGCGCCCGCCATTTAATCGCTAAAACAGAAACAAGATAACACAAAATTGTGCTATAAAAGAGAAATTGCAAATATCAACGTAAATGTAATTATTATTTTGTAATTAAATCTTTATGAATTGGCAGATAGAAATAAATTATTATAAATATATAATGTATAAATATATAATATATAATATAATATATAATATACATATAATATATATAATATATATATATATATATATATATATATTTATATTACATATAATATATAATATATAATATATAATATATAATATATTATATATATATATATATATATATATATTAATAATAATTAAGTCTATTACTGATAGTACAATCTATTCGTGGTGATGTATTTGATTTAACTAAAAAAATATCTCTAAAATTACCAGATAAAAATAAATTACTATAAATATCTAATGTATAATAATATAAATATATAAATATATAATATATAATATATAAATTAATATTAATTAAATCTATTATTGATATTACAATCTATTAGTGATGGTGTTTGATTTAACTAGAATATCTCTCTTATCTATTTCTACCATTTATAACAATATATACGTGCATCACAGCGAAATTATCTCACCTGCAAATTTCTTTTTTATTAATTTTTGTAACATAGAAATATAAATTCACTATTTAGGATAATATTCTATTAATGTTTTTTATCTTTAATGACAACAACTATAATATTTTTAATTTCAAGTTTATTTTTAATTCAGACTCGCATAGATGACTGTTCAGAGCTTTTTTTTACTGTAGTGTAATACTAAAAGTAATAGTTTTACTACTTTTAGTATTACACTACAGTAATAGTAGTATTTCTAAATAGCTCCTTAAGCACAGTATTATACGAAAGACGATTAAGGGCAGCAATGATCAATCTCTGTCTGCAATTAACCAATCATCACTTTGTCACTGATGTATGATCTTAAAGATGGCATGTGACAAGAAAGAACTTTCTGGAAAATCTCAAACTTTCTTAGATTTTTAAATGAGAAAAAATAAGAAGCAGAATGTAATGAATAAACAATAACAAAATGACCATAAAAATTGTTCAATTAAACCGGTGATGCATATAGATAGAAAATGTGATGGAACGATACGATCTTTTTATATTATTTGTACACACAGCTACAAAAGTTTGCACTTTTTTCAGAAATAAAGAAGATCGATTATGCATTTGCTTCCGGCTCTTTCCCGTTTCTGTCCCGATCAAGAGCACAAGAGATGTTGAATAGATCGTTCGACGGTAAGCGCTATCGAAGGAAAGCGCGAGACATCCACGAGGAGTGCTGTATCAATAAGTGCACGAGAAGCGTCCTGTTCATGTATTGCGCTTAACTGTCCCTAAGCACTTGTCCGGAAATCAGTAATCCTTCGAACTCCGCTTTACCACTAAATCACCATGCAACTGAATAAACCCAGACATAAATATATCCATATACTCAAACACACATGCACACACACATACACACACAGGGAGACACACACACACATACATTATATATGTACAATACACGTTTGGAAAGTACTGTAATAATGTGATAATCTATTATGTAGATAAATTATTATAAGATAATAATTAATATATATTAATTATTATAAAATAATAATTAATATCTATTAATTATTATCTTATAATAATTTATCTACATAATAGATTATCACATTATTACAGTATATAAAAGCATTCTCACAAAAAAGTCATTTTCAATTTTCGAGAAATATAATAATACTGATTTAAATATTATTATAATTAATATTAAACAATATTATGACGATTAATTTAAAGGGTATAAGATTTCTGATGTTTTTATATCTCATTTTTTTAAGACTACATTATAAAATAATAATTAATATAAATACTGATTAATATAAAATAATTTGAAAATAAAATCTATTTAATTCGATTTAAGTTTTTTCGGCTTTTAAGTCGATATTTATTCAAATATTTTACAAAATCGAATATTTTTTGAATAATTCTTCCTTCGCTTACTCTGTCTTTTCTATCATAAAATAATTTCTATCATAAAATAATTAAAATTTTCGAAATTTCGAACAATGTATTAGCATTATACGTGCAAAACAATATTTTAATCAAAATTATTTTATTTAAATTGTTGATAATTTAATAAATTGATGGTATAATAAATCGAACCGCACAGTTATTATGACAAATTTCATTTTGTTTCTGTAAATATAATCCTTTCGTTATTAATGTGTGCAGTTATCAAGAGCTCTGGATTACGATTTCTAAATAAGCTATAATACACAATCGAGAATATGTAAAAGGAAAGATTAACGATTTCTCGAAAAGACATGAAATTGCAGTCAAATTAAATATTTATATTGCTTATAATTGTATGTGACATTTATCGTACTTTTGATAGTCAACAGAAGCAGTCAGACTTCATTTTGTAGATCAGCCTAAGTTAAATTGGAAAGTTAAATTGGAATAAAGAATGAACATTAAAAAAGAGAGAGAAACAAATCACGAATTTATAGTAAGTCATATATATAAATATATATATATATATATATATATATATATATATATATATATGTCGGAATCTTTGTATGTTAAATTTGATCCATTGATATCGAATATCAGCATTGCCTCAAAATAATGTCCCGTCAATAAATGATGAGCAAAATGGCAAGAGCGAATCGCCACTTCCCGATGTTGGTACACCAAAACGTAATCGACTTCGTCCCGATATTAAAAAAGCAGCCTATCTATAGCTGCTATAGCAGGACGTGGTGTATTAACATCGGGAAATTGCTTTTCACTCTTACCATTTTGCTCTTCATTTTTGGCGGGACATTATCTTGAGGCAACATGCCGATATTCGATATCAATGAGTCAAATTTAACATACAAAGATTCCGATATATATATATATATATATATATATATATATATATATGTCGGAAAAAAATATTAATTATAAATATTTTACTGTCTTCAAAAAAAATTGTATTGTCTAAATGTATTAAATATTTTAAAAGAAAACTGGGAGAGAGAGAGTGAGAATAATAGTCACTTATTAATATCTTAGTATATTATTTTATTATCATAGTAAAAGTCACAATTATATTTAATGTATAAAGTACTTATTACTTTTTCAAAATATTCATGTGTAAACTTTTATAAATAATTTTATATTTTAAATATTAGAAAACGTTTATTTATAAATAAAATGTTATTGAATTAAATAATTTATAAAATTACATATAAATACATTATTATATTATTTTAATATTACATTGTTCATATAAAATGAGCAATGGCGCCCGCGAACCGCGCGCTTGTGTGTTCTAGTTAGGTAAGTAATATAAAAGTATTTTCGTGCAATAGGCTTAACATTCGTTTCTTTTTCAATGGAACAGCAGTGTTAGCAGACTTTTTTTCCGTAAACAAGATTTTATTCTAAAGAGTTTAATATTATGTAATAAATTTCTGAAAAGAATGTCGAACGTGTCTCATGGGGTTCTTTTTTAGTTCTTAATTGTGGGCATATTTTCTTTTGCTATCGATAAAAAAGTTAAATCGTCAGACGAACAGCTTTCCTTATACAGATTTAATCGCATCGATAAGTCAACTTTCCAAAAATATATTTGAGATAAGAAACTGAATTTATTATGATTATATATTGAATTTATTAAAACTGGATTTATTTCTATTTATTATAACAACGATGCTACCCACATAATAGACATTTATTATCGTATATTATTATAACATATTATCATATAAGTATCATAATCTTATCAAAATAAAATATTCTTCTTTTTTTATTTGTAAGTACCTAATAAAATTATCTCAAAACATTATCTCTCTATTATTGTTATTTTATGTTAATTTTAAAGGTATTTATTTTAATGAGATGACTACCAACGGAATCTCACTTAACTTTACTGTTAGGCGGAAATTATTGAATTTCTTGTACAATCCTGTATCAATATGACACCTATAGTATTAATAAATGAAACAAATCTTCGATTTGATACGCTCTGGACATTTACCCTATCAAGATATTCCTATCTAATGTTTGAGAATTACAGTTTCATCTATTTTCTTCGGGTGCATCATTTCTTGCTGACATCTTCTTAATTCATTTTGCGAAATCTGTTACAGATAAATAATAATAAACCAATTTAATAAATATATAATTTTATGAAAAACATGTATAAAAATATCGAATGCATCAAAACTAATAGTACAATCAAAAAGGATGTAATTCTATATAAAAAATAAGTCGGAAATGCATAATAAATATAGTAAATATAGTAAAATTTTATTATATACAAATTTCTTTTTTAGAAAAACAAATTTGATGTTAAAATAGGTGTGCACATCTTTTCTTTGGTCTTAACGACCTAAATTATATGTTACTTTTACTTATAGTTATATTTCTCTTGTATCAGTTCTGACAGGTTACTTTTGTCGATAATAAAAATTTATCGCGCAATTTAACAGCAAAACAACGCGAATCCATATGCAATCGAAACAATTTAGAGATTTGGGATTTTTCAATTATTTTCTTTCACACATGTATGTACAACTGCGAGAATGGGGAAAATTTTCCTTTGTATGCATTCGCGCTTTGATAGGAAAAGTCGACCATTGGCCGGTATGCACTCGATCGGATATCAGTGCGTATAAGTGTGTTTAGTATCTTTCCGAGTGTTATATTCACGTGTTTATGCATTATTATTTATGGTGTCCGCCGGCAGTACTTTACAGATATTATGAGAAAAGAGAATAATAAGAAAATATTAATAGAAAAGACAAGAATAGAAATGCATCAGTTTTTCGAGAGAAAGTAAACGAGAGAGAGGAAAAAAGATCAAAAGAGAATAGCTCCGCGGTTGAGGAAGAAAAGGGAAAACGTTAAAGATAACCGAGTACTCTTTTCAATTTATAGAATTTTTCGCTATAAAATGCATCTCTTCTTAAGATTGTCGGGGGGATCTATGTAGTTCGGTACTCTACGATCATCGAAGGCGCCAAACGAGAAGCCAATGAACACACGTTATTATCGACACGTATAATTATTGTTTAATCTCAATTTATTTAAGAGAATTTGAAGCAGCGATACAGCCTTATATTTTATTTCATGCGCAAAATTATGCGAATTCAAAGAAATCAATAAATTCCTAAATGATGTAAATTGACAAAATTTTAATATTAAAGAGAAACAAGTGCGAAAAAATAAGTGAGAGAAAAATGCATTAACATAATATATTAAATTTGTGTTCCAAAAAACAATTCATTTCCCGATCTCTTTTTTTCACATTTCATTCACACTTGCGAAAAAACTAATTTTAAACTTATTATTAGCTAGTCTTCTCTTTTTGAAATACCTTACGTAAATGGATTACTGCATTAATAGATTACGAAAAAAAATTTAAGATTAATGAGTTATATCGCGTATGAACTAATTTTCGCCGATAAATTAAACCGATACATTTTTAATTGTTTTGCTCTCACGGCGTATCGACGACGTGCGATCGCGCTTATTATCTTCACAGTAAGATGCCACGAGTTGCCCGCGTTCGCAAAACGTAAACACAATTATTTCCCCCATCCGCGGGTTCATATTTTGAAAGATGTACGACCTTCTTCAGATCGACGAGAACAACTCACCGACGATCACGCAGTTTCTTCCAGACAAAGAATAATTATAGTTGAATTACCGTTCTGAATATTTAAAGAAGATTTCCGGATCAGAGTGCAAAATCTTTAGAAACTCTCAAGGTATGTAAAAGAAATCTTAAAGCAGATATTAGAAATAACGTTCAGAAATTGCCTCATCAACTTTAAAGACAGAATGTTAATTTAGTTTGGAATTTCATTTCAGTATATATATTTAGAGTTTTATGATAAATCGTGAATATAATTAAAGTTTGATCTATCGGAGCAATAATGCTACGAATTGTAAATGTGCGCGTTTTCAGTCGTACTAATCGCGAGGAAAAGATAATTAATATTAGACATAATTCGACATCAATATGCGTCATTTCTTTCAGTTATAGCTTAGTTGAACGCTAATTTCTATCGCTAATTTCGATGCGCCGGAAATAGAAGTGGTTTGTCCTATATTAATTAGCGTTACGCGTGTTCAAAGGAGCAAGCCAATGTGTCTACTGCGGTAATGACCCGGACACGTCTAATGAAACGTTGCTTGCGAATCGATCCCGAATAAATTCCCTCATCAACCTTGAAACATCAAAATAAAAGTGTATTTATGTAAATTGTAGCCTAAAACGATGTAGTTAAAATTAAAAAGTATACCGATATGCAAATTGATATTATATCGAAAGTACATTTAAATTCGATCTTTATTGATATAATGAAAATATTGAGGCACTGAGATAATTATCGCTATTTAGTTGTAAGCTATTGAAAATGAAATTTTGCTTTTTATAAAACAAGCTTCGATATTTGTATAAAGTATATATATATATAAAATTATTCGTTCATTAATTCTAAAGACATTTTAATAGATATTTAATTTTTAAAGCTCAGTTATTAATCTTTCTCAATATCTTTACTAAAAACAAGACTTTATACTTTCAAATCTAACGGAAATACATGCGTACATGTATGTGTATATTTTCGTACAAACTATGAACAATACACGGTATCATTATTGGAAGGTCACATCCTTGAAAAGTCGCGAAATAAATATCGTTAATTCTAACTGAAATATATGAGAATATAATTTTGAATTATTAGATTCGTATTTATTTATATTTTTATATACAGGCCTGTGCATTGTATAAAATATTTTTATTTCTTTTTATTTCTTTAACATACAATCTGCATATAATTATCTGTTTGTCCGAGATAGTGTTTTTGCTGTTCTACTTTTAATTAACACATGCTCATTTATGTTTTATATTCTCTAATTATTTTTCTATTCTTATTTATCTTTCTATCTCCGAAAAAGCTTATTTCCTCTGATATAAATATAATAAATATTTCTCTGATAAATAATATATAATATATTCCTTCCTTTCGGTTTTTAATCTAGTCTCGTGTATGTGTTCGCGTAATTAAATGACAACGGATACTTTCAGATGTCCACGAGCCAATTGAACGTGATTGTCAGCCTAATAATCCCCCTAATGTTGTTTGTACTGGAGGCCAACGCACAACAACCACGACGTTATTGTGGGAAAGAACTCTCGGATGCACTGAATCTAGTCTGTGGTGGGGTTTTTAATACTCCTAAGCCTTATAATAGAGATTATCAGAGCAACGATCCAAATAATAGTTTAGTTCAAGGTAAGCATAAAAGCTAATCAATACGGAAGATATTATTTTTTGGCTTATATACACGAATCCAAACGCCAAAATAGGATAGATAATATATCGGTAATGGATTAATGAGCAAAATTGCCTATTTCTGTAACAATGTTAAATAATATATTTGTTTCCTAAATGTATGCAATGTTTTCTTTTCAGATTTTAATATTTGTAATTATAATTGAAGATGATAGTTTAACCAGCATGATTCATTTATAAATTATTTAATGTACCTCTTATTGTCTGCCAATCTTTTTATTTGTACAGATTGCTACAAAAGTTTTTTTTCAGAAAAAGAGGCCGTTTGTGACCCCTCTCGGAATATGAGTGAGAAAACGTGCTATCAACAAGAAAGAGGATATCAAGACACCAAAAAAAGCAAAGTCGCCAAGAAAGTAGGCGTCGCCGATGAATGCTGCAGTAATAAATGCACATTACAGAACCTGTCCATGTATTGCGCGGAAAGGACTACATAACTGTAGTCCTTAAGCACTTGTCCGGAAATCAGTAATTCTTCGAACTTTGCT